TTCACTTTTTTGGCCGAAACGAAGAGTTATTATCACTTTAAGCATTTTACTATGACATTCATATCATTATACAGCATGGTACAATTAATACAATGCAGAATAACAAGATACAGTACGAAAAAGTAGTGCATTATTGGTTGTAAAGGTATATGTGAAGAGAGTATAATTAATTATTTAAAATGAATCCAATACATATTATGTGAGGCATTAAACATAGAAGGCCTAGTTATTTTATTGGCGTTTTTCTATTCATTTTCTACGAACTATTTAATTATGTGGTGTCGCAAGATAATCTCAGACATGCTGAAAACGTTTCAGAACTGCTGGGCATTCGGACCGGCAGTGATGAAAAATTTGCCGGACCGAAAATTAAATATGGAGACGTTTCGTTTACAAAGTAGTAGGCCTACACAGAAGTAACTCTTGTAAATAGGCCTACATATTCAGTTATACTATCAATAATTTGGACATGTTGTATATTTTAAAAACAAAAACTGACACTTATGAAGCACTGCTTTATTGCTGTTCTCATTTCACAAGTTCCAGGGTTCATACAGGCCTTTAGAAGAGCTTGAATTCGTTTCTTCCTTTGAAAGTCCTTGAATTTCACACTTTGTCCTTTAGTTCAATAGTAGGCCTACAGCGTGTACCGCTTAATTTCTCAAGAATTGCCATCTTTTTATATGAATAATTGTTCTTGAGAAATGAGTCAGGCGTCCAAGTTTAGCAGTAAACATTTGCCATGACATGTTTGTTCTAGGCAGCGTGGACCGCCCTCGTGATAACGGTCTGTACGTTGCAACCAATAGACCAATGACAGCGCGCGTAATATCGAGAGCAGGGGGATTCCATATGGGGAGTTACCCATTCGTTTGAGACGGATACTACGATTGGCTAGCGTACTTTGTTAGTGAATGTGAACAAAATGTGATCGGTTTTTACGTGTCGCTCGATTAGTCAATGAAAGAAAAAATGTTGTGGGTTTTATATAATTTTATTCTTGTATAAGTATATCGAACGATGACTGTAAATTCAAAATGGCGGCTCTTAAAACTCTTGTAGGTCCTGTGGGCCGAAAAAGTACGATTTTTTACCGGTCCAGAAAAATTTTGCCGGTCATGACCGATCGGACCGACAGTTTCAGCATGTCTGTTAATTCTCCCCTATTTTCTAAAATGGAAGGGCAATGGGCACGTGGTAGGAACCATTTGGGCCATAGGACAGTTAAACTTGGCTTAGTTCTAGGTGAAGGAGAGGTGCAGCGTCTACTCTGGAATCGTGCCCGTAAACTTGGCTCCGTCTTTCCCATGCCTTTCAGGGCCTAGTGCCGTATAGCCGCCATCTACTGGGAGATCGGCGCCCGTGATGAAAGATGCGTCTCTGCTGCAGAGGAAGGCAATGGCGGCGGCAACTTCTGCGCATGCGCCGATACGGTTCATCATGTGACATCCCTCGAACCACCTCTTTTGGTCTTCATCGCCTGCGAAGAAGTTTGCCAGCTGAAATTTGAATGATATTATTTTGGCAGTGTTTTAATTCTGTTTTTCTGCTCCGCACAGCTTTTAATATATGGATTTTGATCATCAGCAGTAAAGCCATGACATTCTCTCTTCAGCTCAAATCATTCTTCATTTCTTCAATCGAATTTGAAGATATCAGTGAATCTTCTGATATAGGCTACCTCTCTCTCTCTCTCTCTCTCTCTCTCTCTCACAGACACACACACACACACACACACACACACACTTACCGCTGCCGTATTTATGGCTCCCGGTGACACGGAGTTCACCCGTATGTCATCTTTGGCCAAGTCCAGTGCCATACACCGGGTCAGCTCCAGCACGGCACCTTTACTGGTCGAGTACGTCCATTTACTGGCCGATGCCATGTGGCCGACCATACTGGCTATATTGACGACTGATCTGGCGTCAGGTTCGGCTGTGTTGGTGAAATATCAGTGAAGTATCGATGAAATATTAATATAACTGCTAAATTTTGACAAAATATGATAAATATTTGGAGATTGATTGAATGTTGGCATTTTACAGGTAACTTTGTCCGATGAACAAAATTTATCCTAATTAGAGAAAAGACTAAATTTGAAAGAAAGTCGGTATTAAGTACATGCTGATTTTGCTGATGGTTTGGTTGTTTGGGTGGATAGACACAAGCAGATGAAACAAACATATATGAACTCGTTATTTAAAACTTGGACCTAAATAGATTTAGATTAGATTATTTAGGTCCAAGTTTAAAAAGAGGGGAGACACACTTTCACAGTGTGGAAAGAGATGGGTGTCCCTAAATTTCGTAATACACCCTAATACAGCGCAATACACTTGGAAAAATGAATTCAGTCGCAAGCAAACACAGGAAATGGTCATTCACAACGTACAAAAGCGAAAAATATTAATAGGTAATTAATATCGTTGATGCAACTTTACAAATCAGCAAAATTTGTTAATCATTGGGTCCGCCGCCATTTTGGCGAGTGGCTCTCCTTGGCCGGTGCCATGTACCAGAAAGTCCCCCATGACAGAAGACTCCACTTCCCATTACCTTGTACAGGTCAGGCTCCCCTAGATTTTCACCCACTTAGGTCAGACTAACCCTAACCATTATAACTATATGGAGGGCGGACCCTCAGTTTCATGACACCGGTAGTATTGGATGGAGAAAGGCAGAGACAGAAAGAGATGGAGAGGAGGAGATGGAGAATAAAAAAGAGATATGTTTACCTGTCTTCATGTGAGGGAAGCAGGCCTGTACCATATTCGAGTATCCAGCCACATTCACACTCATGACTTGTACCCAGTCGGACGTGTCGGCATCTAGAGCTGGAGAACAAAGACGATTTAATGTTGACAAGCGAGAGGAGAGAGAGAGAGAGAGTCAATCATCTCACTGTACATACACATGCCTACCCAACTACCAGACTCGGCACATAAGGATCCTGAATTAACCGGTACACCGGACCACACTACCCGTTTTCAAGGTGTGTGTCAGATCGCATTTCGAAGTATCATACCCCAAAACAATTGTTGTAGGACGACCGCGGGCTCATCCTGTCGGTGTTCTGACTGATACTTCGAAATGCGATCTGACACACACCTTGAAAACAGGCAGTGTGGTCCGATATACCGGTTAATTCAGGATCCTTATGATGTGCCGAGTCTGGTAGTTGGGTAGGCCTGATACATATTTCAATGTTGTGTTTGATGTAATGTATCCCCCCCTCTACCCCCCTCTTTCTCTTGTGTGTTTGTGTGTGTGGTGGGGGGGGGGGGAGGGGGGAGGACTACGGTCCTATCTGTACCCTAAGATCTAATAAACGGATATTAGATCTTAGCTGTACAGTAGACTCATACAGTGCCGTAGAATCATGTAGACAATATAAATATATTGGGATATATAACAAAGGCGGTTCTTTTTTTTATTTTGTAAAAAATGCCCGTGGGGTGTCGGAAATCGTTTCCCGCAACCCATTATTTTAACTTGCCTTTTAATATAAATACCGCAGCACAGTTCACAAGAAAGTTGATGCAGCCACCGTACTGGCTAGCTACGTGGCTAACGGCCTCGAAGCAGGCCTCTCGGTCGGAAACGTCGACCTGGTAAAATTTCGTCTCAAAGCCAGCCGCCTGGAGCTCAGCTTCCAACTGTTTCCCTGCAACTTGGTCGATGTCGAAGAAGGCAACAAGTGCTCCGTCATTCAAGAAGCGTCGCACACATGCACTGCCTATACCACTGGCTCCCCCTGTGACTATAGCTACACGCCCCTTGAATCTGTCCTTAGTGCTTGCTGCATCCAGGCTAGGTTGAAGAGCTGCCATTTTAAGTCACTCCTGACCTGGTTTTACTTTTTGCAATATCAAAGGCGAGAAATTGGTGACCTATTTTGGGTTGACCTCCTGTTGCGGGCCACCGTCTTGACGATTGTGTTTTTGTGTACCCTATACCAGGGCCATAGATTGACTTTTCTCTAGATATTTGCTAACAAATGTCTCTGCGTGGCTTATTCGAGACATTTACTCCACTGTCCAGAGAATTTGTGCATGGAATTAATTTCATGGCCTGTCATCTTAAACTATATCAGCTTTTATAAATTTAACCTTGGACATAATTCGTTATTATGTCCAAGATTTAACTAAAAGGTCAAATTCAAGTCCAGAGAGGGATAGACAATCGGTTTGTTAGTATAAGAAAATTGCTTATTTCCCTTGGAAAATCCATTTTGGCGGGTAAATCCCATGGCGTCTCTTTACATGTATGGTGTTTGTAGCCGACAGGGAATTTTCGTAAAGGTACATGTATCTGGCTCCTACATTTTCGTTTTTTTTTCTGTTTGTATTTCGTCAGTCCTGAAAGATCTTACATTTGCAGGACCATTTATGACTCTCATGTTTAGATATGTCGTCGTTGATATATATATATATATATATATATATATATATATATATATATATATATATAACTGGCGCATAGGGTTTTACTCGCTATCGCCGAAAGGTGGTGTTGAGCGCATCAAACCTGAAGCAGAATCGATGATTTTTCTAAGGTTGAAAAAGCATTATTTTAAGTTTAGTAAGGTTGTTATTGTTACTTTTGTCTACATTCCCCCTCAAGGTTCCCCGTTTTATAATGGGAGAGATGCTAATGGTATTAGTTTGCTAGGTGCAAACCTGGAAGATATCTCGCTTAAGTATGATGACTTTAGTTTAATATTAGCAGGCGATTTCAATGCTAGAACTGGTGACTTGTACGACTATATTATTGACGACGATGCCAGGTACTTAGATATAGGCGATTGGTATGAGTCGGATTTATTTAATTTACCACGGAACTCGCAGGACACAGTTGTCAATGCATTTGGCACAACTTTAACTGAACTATGTTGTGATTATGGTATACACTTTATAAATGGCAGATCTCAGAATGACCCGGAGGGGAAATTTACTTGTGTTACAACCAATGGTGCAAGTTTAGTTGACTATGTCATAGCAGTCTCGGAGATATTTGATAGCATTCTTAACTTTGATGTTTTGGATATGCACTTTTCGGACCATTTCCCCTTGTCTTTTGTGATACAATGTGAGGCACACACAGATGGGGACAAGGCCGAGACCGAGACTAGTAATGTTACAAAAGGGCTTCAGTTTATATGGGACGCTGCAAAAGCTCGCCAGTTTAGAGCTATTCTCGACGACAATGTATCTAAAGACATGCTTGACCAGTGTTCTGATTTAATGCAAAATAACATAAACGAGTCTGTATTGCTACTTAACCAAGTCTTTTACAGAGCTGCGGAAGCTATGAAGGTTAAGGGCAAAACCGGACGACAGGCGGACAGAACTCAACCCGATTGGTGGGATGCAGACTGCCAAAATAAAAAATCTGTAAAAAATCGAAAGTAAAAATCAAATGCGTAAAACCCAACAGCGCCAAATGTTAAAGACTACATAGAAAGTAAAAAAGTGTTCAGACAGACGTGTCGTGAAAAAAAGGATATCAAACAGCAACTGGCAAGAAGCAGAATTGTTAAAAGTTGTGATGATACAAGGGCATTCTGGGCAAATGTGGCACAGGTATCTAGGACACCTCGCCAAAAGACACAAATCTCTGCCTCGAACTGGTATGAATACTTTATTGAATAGTGGTAACACAGTTATAGATGGTGTTTTTCATGAAGACGTTATGGAAGGCCTGAGAGCGCACGATGGACACTGTGATTGTTGTGACGAAAATAAACCATCAGATTTGAATAAAGTGATCACAGTTGAGGAAGTTCGCAGTGCAATCAGACAAATGAAGAATGGCAAAGCGGCAGGCCTGGACGCCATTCCATGTGAATTCTTAAAAAATGCAAACGATGCGTGCATTCAGTGTTTGAGTGATATATTTAATTGTGTTCTTGCCACTGGACAGTTCCCTGAATCGTGGTCGGTTGCCATCATTTTTCCTTTGTATAAAAAAGGTAGCACGAATGATCCAAACAACTTCAGAGGCATATCATTATTAAGTGTTGTTGGCAAGGTGTTTACTAAATTATTAAGCAATAGATTAAACGCCTGGGCAACTCGGGAGGATATTATCAGTGAATGCCAGGCTGGTTTTAGGAAAGGGTATTGCACTCAGGACCAAATATTTTCATTACAAGCAATGATACAAAAATATTTGTCGAAAAGGGGAGGCAGATTTTACTGTATGTTTGTCGACTTTCAAAAGGCTTTTGATTGCGTGGATCACCAGTACTTCTGGTTTAAAATATGTGCAAACGGAATCCATGGCAATATACTCAGTGTTCTCAAATCTATGTATGCACAATTGCAAGCTTGTATAAGGCTACCAAACACATCAAGCTACACGTCAACGTTCTCATGTAGTGTTGGTACCAGGCAAGGATGCATGGTCAGCCCGTTTTTGTTTTGCTTATTCATAACTGATCTCATTTATCTTTATGAAGAATTCTCCTGCCGAGGTATTTATATAAATCAGGAGTTCATGAACATTACCTCGCTTTTATATGCAGATGACTTAGCAAACTGTGCTGATACTGTGCGAAATCTGCAAAGACTCTCAGATTACTTAGGGTTGTTCTGTAAACGCTGGAAAATGAATGTGAATCTTGATAAAACCAAAGTAATAGTTTTCAGAAATGGTGGTTACCTTAGACATTACGAGAAGTGGTTTTTTAACAGCGTGGAGTTAGAGACTGTATCGCATTATAAGTATTTGGGTATTATGTTTACTCCAAAGCTATCTTGGTCCAAAGCAAAACAAACTTTAGCAACTCAAGCAAAGAAATCTATGGCAAGATGTTTCAGGTTATTTAAAAATGTGGGAACTTTGCCCCACGTCTTATGTTTTAAGATATTTGATTCAATGATAAAACCCATACTTACATATGGAGCAGAAATATGGGGTTATGAAATATCCGAATCAATAGAGAATGTTCAAGTTAAGTTTTGTAAAAGATTATTGATGGTATCGGATAATGCAAGCACACAAGCAGTTCTTGGGGAATGTGGTCGTTTCCCTCTATACATAGATTATCATGTCAAATGTATTAAGTATTGGTTCAAGCTTTTGTGTATGGACGACGGTAGGCTACCGAAACCATGCTACAAGTTACTGTTTGACTTAGATAGTAGTGGGAGGCAAACATGGTCGAGTGACATCAAGCATCTTTTATATTCATATGGATTTGGAGTAGTATGGGAAAACCAAGGATGTGGAAATGTGGAACTTTTTACAGAACAGTTTAGACAACGATTAATGGATATAAGCAGGCAGAATTGGCATTCCTCAGTACGCGAATCAGGCAAGCTAAGGACCTACAGCTCATTTAAACTAGATTTGGTATTTGAGGAATACTTATCTTTTGTGTCCATAGCAGAGCATAGAAGGGCCTACTGCAAGTTCAGAATATCAAACCACAATTTACAGATTGAGAAGGGACGGTATGCCAGTGTAGATGGGGAAGATAGAGTATGCGCTGCATGCCTTTCTGATGGCATAACAATTATTGAGAATGAGGAACACGTGTTAATGTCATGTAGTTTATGTAACGGTCTGAGGGAACGCTATATTCCCGAGATTACAACATTGTCACTAGTGACTGCTCTGTCATCACATAATGTTGACTTTATAAAAAGACTTGCGGCCTTCATATATCATGCTGAGAAATTAAGAGAGGTTTTTTTAGATAAGTGATTTGTGTCGTTTATGATATATATTTCTGTGTAGTCAGCTCAGTATTATTATAAATAGAACTCAATTGATGTACTCTTGGCCTGTAGGCCTGAAATACAGTGAAATAAACAAGGTACAAAAGTATTTCTGTTAAAAGTCAAAACTTAGTTGTATCCCAGATAGCATGCAAACGTTGGCCCAACGTTGGCCCAACGTTGCCTTGGTTGACCATGCATACGTTGGCCCAACGTTGGGTTTCCATCTAAGTGCTCACTTTGGCCAACGGTTGGCTGAACGTATTTGGCCAACGTTGGCCCAACGTTGGTCAATTTCAATGCTAACGCATTGCCAACATATTCCCAACCAAACTACGTTGGCCCTACATTGGGCCAACTAATATTCAACGTTGGCCCAACAATTACCCAACCTGTAACCAACAGTGTATTTACGTTGGTTCTACTAATAACCAACATCGGTCCAACGATTACCCAACCTCAAACCAACATTGCTTTAACATTTGGNCATTTCAACTTTGGACCAGTAGTCTTAGGAGAACTGCTCGTCGGATTCAATTTTGAATAGTGTGAAGATGATAACTGGTGATTATAGAAAAATTAATCTAGAAGAAGTCTGGTATTAGTGTTATATGGCTCTATATGGGTTGCCATGGACAGGAGGCTAAGATTCAAGGAAAAGAAAATAGCTTCTTTACCTCTCCCCCCCCCCCTCCCCTCTTTTGATGACCCTGGAAAAGCAATTCAAAATGAAGCAATTGCACCCCATTGCTGGCAATGTTTGAAATTACCATGCTATATAATTATATCTATTTGTTTATATGTTGCACATATGTGGATCTTTCATTTTGCATCCTCTATAAGCTAAAAGCCTGTGGTTCCATCAGTTTTGCTGTGCTCTGTATTGTTGATTATTGTGTTATGAGATATAAAGGCTGTATTCAGAACAGTGGACTAACTAGACCGTGGGTCAAAAATGGCGACCCACTAAAAAGCTTGCCGTGTTATTCGCTAATAGACGCTGAATAGATTCCCCATTGGGAAGTATTCAAGTGGGTCGGCCATATTTGACCCACGGACTAGTTAGCCCACTGTTCTGAATGCGGCCAATGATATGCCTTTCAGGGAGGTGTATCACACGAAGCGCATGCAGCGTGTAATTTGCGTGAAGTGGTCCAGTGACAACAAATACCTCCTGTCAGGCTCTGACGAGATGAACATACGCGTGTGGAAGGCGAGGGCATCAGAGAAAATAGGAGTGGTGAGTGTCTTATTTATTATTAATTTATTAATTTTCTATTATTAATTATTATATTATTTACAGATAGGAATAGTGAAAGTTTTATTAATTATTTATATTTTTGCTATTTATTATTTTTAATGGGAGTGGTGAGTTTTATTTATTATTTATTTCTATCTCTAAGTAATTATTATTTTAAAAAGGCGTGGTAAGAGTTTTATTTGATAATTTTCACATGACCTTGTGTCATTTTCAAGGTCATGCTATGAACTGTAGGACAGAGTTTTGAACATATTACCCTTAATGGCATTAAATTACTAATCATGGTAGTTTTCTATCTCCAGAATTGTTCAAAGACTTACAAACCATAAATTCTTGAAATGTTATCGAGTTCTGAGTTTCTAGATTTTTAGCTGCTTTTGTAATGGAAATAGAGAAAGGTGAATTTTACTTTAAATTATTTAAGGAAAGGAAAAGAAAACTAGAATTCCAGAATGGGTTTATGGATTTTCATATTATAATAATTACTTGACGTTAGTCCAAAGTTCTCAGATCACACTGTTGTCACAACAACCACAATAGCTTCCATATGAAAAAAAAAGACTGCAGCTGAGATCGATGGGTTGTTTTGCAGAACTCAGAAAAGTATAATTGACTGAGGCTTAGTCTAAGATCCATTAAAAAAAAAAAAAAAAAAAAACAGCAGTTTTAACAACTTACAAGGATAATTTATTGTAGAATTATAGCTCGTTATAAAGATGCAAAGATCAATAAATATATTTAAAATTAAAGTGTAATATATTTATTCACCTTTCTTTTATGTTTAATATTTTAGTTATTTAAATAAAGTTTAATTTAAAATGATTATTATTTACTTACTTTCGATTAATACATCAGTCCTTTCTTGCTGCAGCTAAGACCAAGAGAGAAAGAGGCATTTGCATATAGCGAAAAACTGAAGGAGAAATTTTCACACCACCCCCAAGTCCGCAGGATCAGCCGTCACCGCCATGTCCCAAAGATGATCTATAACGCCTCGAAGGAGATAAGAGAGATAAAGGCATCAAGGAAAAGAAAGTATGTTCATAATGCATTAAGATTTATATATATAGTCATATTAAAAACTTTAAATGATGAAAACTGTGAAAAAAAAATTAATATGAAATGACCTAGTATTAAGCATAAATTTTGTTGTTTTTTTTTAGTTTATTAAACACCAATGGACATTTCTGTATATAATCCCAAAATTGCAAAATAAGTGACTGTCATAATTTGAAGACAAAACTTAAAACTTACTTGAATAATACCAGATTGATTATATCACTAAGTTCCTTTAGGAAAAGTTGACTGACTGACCTTTTTTAGAAAGTAATAAATGTGATATAATTCTGTTTAATTTGTAAATAATTTGTTTTTTTCGTTTTTGTAGTAAATATCAAAAGTTATATATTTACTCTTCCAGGGAGGCTAACAGAAGAGCACATAGCAAGCCAGGCACTGTTCCGTTTGTACCAGAGAGAAAGAAACACGTCGTTGGAGAGGTCAAATGAAAGGAATATTTCATTATTTCCTCATTTATGTAATGTTCTAAGACTGTGCATCATTATTTGTATTTAAACTTGGAAAAACATGTGAATCATATACATCCAGTCAGTTGACTTTTAAAGCTTGTGTATTGGACTCTGTTTCATTGTTTTAAAGTTATTCTATACCTATTTCAAATTTGTTCCCAAGGCATATTTTTTATGTCTAAATATGCTGCATAGCTACGTATTTTACCTAATTCAAACTTCATAAACTAGAAAATCCATCAAATGATGTTGATATTTCTTTTTGGAATGTCAGAAACAAGGATGCTTGGTTTAGAAGTAAGCTTAAATAAAACTGGAATTGTTAGAAAAGATCCAAATCCAATGTAGAACTGGTAGTGCAACGTGTCATGAGTTATAAACTTTTTTTCTTGTGGGATAATTACATTTGGTGCAAAAACACTAAAGAATATCTTTGGCCATTGTTAAGGAAATGTGGAACATGCTGTGATTACGCTAGCAGAAGTTCATTTTAATATGGGGTAATCTGTGAACTGTCCTTTGAAGAGCTTGCGCAACAACAAAGGGTCTGGATAAAGCTTGTAATACAACTATTAAAAAGTGTTAATCTCTGAAATACTAGGTGACAGTATAATTACCTCAAAGAGACTATAATTGCACTACTTTTATTATTATTATTATTATTATTATTATTATTGTTAAGCATTTTACTATGACATTCATCTCAGTATACAGCATGTTACAATTAATACAATGCAGAATAACAAGATACAGTACGCAAAAGTAGTGCATTATTGGTTGTAAAGGTATATGTGAAGAGAGTATAATTAATTATTTAAAATTAATCCAATACATATTATGTGAGGCATTAAACATAGAAGGCCTAGTTATTTTATTGGCGTTTTTCTATTCATTTTCTACGATCTATTTAATTACGTGGTGTCGCAAGATAATCAGATTCTCCCCTATTTTCTAAAACGGAAAGGCAATGGGCACGTGGTAGGAACCATTTGGGCCATAGGACAGTTAAACTTTGCTTAGTTCTAGGTTAAGGAGAGGTTCAGCGTCTACTCTGGAATCGTGCCCGTAAACTGGGCTCCGTCTTTCCCATGCCTTTCAGGGCCTGCTGCCGTGTAGCCGCCATCTACTGGGAGATCGGCGCCCGTGATGAAGGATGCGTCTTTGCTGCAGAGGAAGACAATGGCGGCGGCAACTTCTGCGCATGCTCCGATACGGTTCATCATGTGACATCCCTCGAACCACCTCTTTTTGTCTTCATCGCCTGATATGAAGTTTGCGAACTGAAATATGAATGATATTATTTTGGCAGTGTTTTAATTCTTTCTTCTGCTCCGCACTGCCTTTAATATGGATTTTGATTATCAGCATTAAAACCATGACATTCTCTCTACAGCTCATCTTATTAAAGGTACGAGCATCGGTGGAGCGTGGATTAATTCCCAGTAACACATGTAAACCACTGCTACTAATTTCTTATACGACTCTAAAAAATTCGACATGCCAAGGGATAAACAGAATAAATCACCCGATCAGCCATAAAAGAGCTTTAGAGTGCTCCTTTCTTTAAATTTTTGGTTGTCAATTTTGTGACCTACTTTTCTGCCCCATTGACATACAGCATAGAAAGCTAGCAGAAAAATCTGTTCAAACATCACTTTCCGGTAAAATTAAACAATGCCTTTTGGTAATTCTCTTAGTTATACTACTTGAAACTATATGCTGGCATTTGGTTGGTTTTTACANGACAATGGCGGCGGCAACTTCTGCGCTTTCGCCGAGACGGTTCATCATGTGACATCCCTCAAACCACTTCTTTTGGTCTTCATCGCCTGCGAAAAATTTTGCGACCTGAAATATGAATGATATTATTTTGGCAGTGTTTTAATTCTGTTTTTTTTTCTTCTTCGCACAGCCTTTAATATAGATTTTGATTATCAGCATTAAAGCCATGACATTCTCTCTTCAGCTACCCTCATTCAGCGTTCCTTCAATCAAAATTGAAAATATCAGTGAATCTTCTGATACCCTCCACCCCCTCTCTCCCTCTTTTTACACACACACACACACACACACACACACGCACGCACGCACGCACGCACGCACACACACACACACACTTACCGATGCCGTATTAATGGATCCCGGTGACACGGAGTTCACCCGTATGTCATCTTTGGCCAAGTCCAGTGCCATACACCGGGTCAGCTCCAGCACGGCACCTTTACTGGTACAGTACGGCCACTTACTGGCCGATGACACGTGGGCGAAGATGCTGGCTATATTGACGACTGATCTGGCGTCAGGTTGGGCTGTGTTGGTGAAATATCAGTGAAATATTGCTTAATTACTATACGAATTGCTAAAATATTGACAAAATATGATAAATTTCAGAAAGGAGATTGATGGAATGTTGACTTTTAAACCTTGTTCGATGGAGAGAATTTGTTTTGGAGTTAATGCCCCTTATCAGTGGACGGCGTCCTTTTTGCGTTCCTTCTGCGATCAAAAATGTGGTCAGTGCGCTAAATACCCCGATCACACCTACACGACGCAGGGTCGGCGCTCGACCGACGCGCTGAAAAAAATTGGCAACTCTTAGCTGGCAATTTTGGCCAGTGCGTTGTTATGCGTCTGCATTCGTCAAACGCGCCGGACGAGAGTTATGCATTCGTTTTCATTCGTTGCCATTCGCTCTTGTGCGTCTAAATTTTAATGTCATGTGTGGTCAGTACGCTTAACTCTCGTTCTCTGTGCGATCGTTTTGAACATACCCAAAACTGCGGTGACCATAGCGTCTGTGCGATCTAAGCGATCACTGTGCGTTCTTTGAGCGTTCAATGGCGACCTGACCAGTTTAATGGTCGCACAAAGGACGCAGAAAGGACGCCGTCTAGTGCAAAGGGGTTTAAAAAAAAGGACTTGGCTGAACGATGTAGATTTCGCTGTTATTACGGTGGACAGCAAGGATTCATGCTCATACTCGCATAAGTTGGAGATAGAGGGGAGAGAGAGAGAGATGGAGAGGATGAGAGAGAGAGAGAGAGGGAGAGAGAGAGGAGAAGGAGGACAAAGAGGAGGAGAGATGTGTATTTTACCTGTCTTCATGTGAGGAAAGCAGGCCTGTACCATATTCGAGTATCCAGCCACATTCACACTCATGACTTGTGCCCAGTCGGACGTGTCGGCATCTAGAGCTGGCGAATAAAGACGAACGTTGATTTAATGTTAAGAACCGAGGGGAGAGAGCAGGGATATCAGGACCCCCCCCCTGCCCCCCTCCCCGGCCAACCCGACCCATCACCCATCCCACAGTAGCATACACAATATTTTTTAGAGGCAACGTGAGTCTCTCGTTTCTTACCTAGCGTGCTCTTGCGCTGTAAATTTAATTGAAAAAAAAGAGGTTACGACTAAGGGTTCATGCATTATGGATCACAGCGCGAGTTAAGTTTTAAATTGTCTCATGTTCGCATCTTAGGTCAGGTAGGTCTATGCGGGGGTATTCAGTGGATCCGTTCACCCAAATATTCTTTAATGAGGTCATTGCCGGCTGGTAGGTTTTGATATCGTGCCGTCGGTGCTTGTAGACAAGATATATACACTGGGAAATACAACATTGGTCAAAAAGGTTGTCCCACCCCTATTTTCTTGTACTTTTATTAACAAATGATAACCTCTCAGATGTAAATTGTTAGAAAAGGTGCTTTTTATTCCAGATACCATCTCTACCATGATTAATGGTTCAGAAAATACAAAATAGTGGCGAAAATATATACATTTTATACCATTTAGTCAAATTTATAACAGGTACCCCCTCAAATCCAATGTTTCACTGTGATTTCCACAGATGTTAAGGAATGTCTATTAAATTAAAAAGACGCCGTAAAATGTCACCAAATTTACACAAATTAGCATTAGGGTGTGCTCGTTAAAGGTCACGTGCCTAATATCGTGTGTGTCTACCGCATACTGAAATTATCTCCTGTAGGCGGCGCGACAAGCCTCCAACAAGGGTTATAATATTCTGTTTTGTGGGATATTGTCCCATTCATCCTAAAGAGCTTGGCTGAATTGATCCACATTACTTGGGAATTGGTTCTCCTCTGCAATACACATTCCAATTAATGTCACAAGTGCTTAGTGGAATTAATATTAGGGCTCAAAGGCGGTTGTCACATCCTCAGAGCCCTGTTTTTCTGCGACAAATCGCTTGCCAGACGAGAGCTGTGAGCAAGTGCGTTGTCACATTGAAGCCGGTAGCATCCCTGAAGTCACCTCTTGCAAACGGAGTGAGATATCCGTTGAGAACATAACATTAAAATGCCCTAGTTACGTTTTATTCCAAAAGGAACAATGTATTAATACCATGGGCCTGGAATGTTCTATAAATGTGGACTGATCTAACACCTCAGGCGATATTATCACACATCCCTACAAATGGCATTTTTCAACGTGTCTACGGACCCTCATTTGACCATCGATGAAATAACTCGATTCTGCATCAAACCCGACTTCTTTCCAGTGATGGATGGCCAGGTTCAGGTGCCTGTGGGATCACTGACCGTAGCATTCTCAGCTGATATCTCACTTCATCTTCAAGAACTGGCTTTGGTTAACTCCAGGCTTCATCATGACAGCACACTTGCTCACACCTCTCCTCTAGCAAGGGATTTGTTATAGAAACACACCGCTCTAAGGATTGAACCACCATCTTTGATCCCTGATATTAACCTTAATAATCACCTGTGACATGAATTGGAGTGTGTAATGCAGAGACGAACCAACCCCATAAAAACGTGGACAATCTCCCCCAAGATGTTTACATAGAATGGGACAATATCCCACAAAACAGAATTGTTACCCGTGTTAAAGGCTTGTCACGCCGTCTACAGGAGATAATTACAGCACGCTATTAGGCACGTGACCTTTAACGAGCACACCCTAATGCAAATTGTGTGTAAATTTGGAGACATTTGATGACCTCTTTTCAATTTAACAGACATTTCTTTACATCTGTAGAAATCACAGTGGGACATTAAATTTGAGGGGGTACCTGTTATAAATTTGGCTAAATGGTATAAAATGTTTATATTTTCACCACAATTTTTTTTTTGAACCATTAATCGTGTTAGACACGGTATCTGGAAACTTTTTGACCAATGTTGTATAACAAAAGCGGTGTTATTTTCATTAGAAAAGCTGGAAAAAATTATGCTAGCTGGCAGTACAGATCTGCACTGGGTGAACAGCTCTCATGCTGGGAGTTTGGAAACCAACTGGAAAAGATGACCGGATCGACGTACCATTCCCAGGCCAACCCCCTGATTGTAAAAAATGCCACAAAACATGCATGCCTTCATCAAACATGCACTTATAATTAAGTGATTTGGGGGAAATGCTCGTGGGGTGTCGGAAAGCGTTTTTGTTTTGCAATCCGTAACTTCTACTTACCTTTATATGTGAATACCGCAGCACAGTTCACAAGAAAGTTGATGCAGCCACCGTACTGGCTAGCTACGTGGCTAACGGCCTTGAAGCACGCCTCTCGGTCGGAAACGTCGACCTGGTAAAATTTCGTCTCAAAGCCAGCCGCCTGGAGCTCAGCCTCCAACTGTTTCCCGGCAGCTTGGTCGANGTCGGTACGACATCGGAGCTTAGTAAGATATTGTCGCTGGTTATAATGACTGGCCAGTCATTTTAAACTAAATCGACTTATATAAATTTTATTAAAAGGTCGAATTCAAGTGCAGAGAGGTATAGATATAGCTGATTCGATCGTTAGTACGAGAAAAGTGCTTATATCCCTTGAAAAATCAATTTTAGCATTTTGCCTTTAAAGAACCGTCTCTATACATTCTTTTTGACTGGTTTCCCGTACCTAAAATGGCTACTTGTTAAATTGCTTTCAGCTTAAGCAGCTTAGGCCTCATTCAGAATAGGGGACTAACTATAGTGTGATTTAATATGCAAGTGTATTTTTCTAAGTATTTCATCTGACACACACATGCCCTAGAGCTCAGAATAATAATTGTGTGACAGACGTAGGGGTATCAGTACAATCCTCCCCCCCCCGGACAACCCCCCCCCCCTGGACAATCCCCCCCTTGCCCTAGAATCAAGCCCTAGTCCTTTCTGCGTCCCGCAGCACGGCGCCGTTTGAGAGTAAAAAAAATATAATACTTTATGTCATCATTGAGCATTCATTCTGCAACCAGAGCTATGCTTGTGCCTCTTTTCTACGACCTCAGCGGTGCCAGTTTCATGGTCGCACAAAGGACGCACAAAGGACACCGTTCAGTGTAAAGGGGGTTTAACATGAGGTTGAACGCTGATTTTATTGCCGGGTGGGTCGCTGGGATAGTCCTGTTTCTTAATAGGCGTGGCGAGAGCCTTATTTATCATTGATTTTATCTATTATTTATTATTTTATGTACAAATAGGAGTACTGAAAGTTTTATTAATTATTTATATTTTTTATTATTCTGTATTTTAAATAGGGGTGATGAGTTTAATTAATTTTGATGATTAATTACTTTTTATAATTAGTTATCATTTAAAAAAAGCGTAGTAAGAGATTTATTTGATACTTTTCACATGACTTTGTATCTTTTTCAAAGTCTCAATCACAGTAAGTTAATTACTAATCATCTTAGTTTACTCTCTCCAAAATTGTTCATAGATTTACAATCCATAAATTCCTGTTATCGAGTTTTAACTTTCTAGATTTTGAGTTGCTTTTGTAATGAAAATTGAGAAAGGTGAATTTCACTTTGGATCATTTAAAAAAAAAGAAAGAAATTTAGAATTCCAAAATTGGTTCATGGATGTTCATATTACATGTATAATAATAACTTGATAATTAAGTTAACAAACTGTCTTTTATCCCGTCTTTGATATTTTTGGCCTCTTGAGGCAAATGGCTCAGCGTGTGGGGGGTGCAAGCGCCGATTGCTCAAGTCATGCCAACAATGCGCATGTGCGGTAGCCGGAAACAAAGAAAAATGGAAGCCCCCAGCGAAGTAAACAAAAATGTACACAGTTAGTGTTAGTCTGATTGATTAACGTGGTCACCATTTTCCATTCTTTCAGAAAAAAATTAATATGTAATGCTCCTTAAACACATGATCCCATATTTCGCGGTGCGTTCGATAGGGGCAGGCCGGGAGGCACCTCTGCTGAACAGAGAGCGCATCGTTTGCGGGGAGCTGAGGAGCGCGAGCATCTGGCGCAGCGCAAGTGGCGCGCGCCGAATGCTCACCGTGTGCGGGCCCAATCATCTTAGTTTACTCTCTCCAAAATTGTTTATAGAAATACAATCCGTAAATTCCTGTTATCGAGTTCTAACTTTCTAGATTTTGTATTATACGTGTATAATAATAACTTGATAATTAAGTTAACAAACTGTCTTTTATCACGTGTTTGATATTTTTGGCCTCTTGAGGCAAATGGCTCAGCGTGTGGGGGTGCAAGCGCCGATTGCTCAAGTCATGCTCAAGTCATGCCACGCAACCATTCCCAGAAAAAGTAGGGTGATAAAAAACAACCTATATTACTAGCCAAGTTACATCGATGATATAACTTAACAAATCAGCAAGACTTTTATATTGTCCAGTTGGCAGCCATGTTGGAGAGTGGCTTTTCTTGGATATATTACTGGCCAAGAAGAGCTACTCGCCAACACGGCGGCTGACCAAACAATGAAAAAATTGTGCCGATTTGTTAAGTTGTATCAGCAATATTAATTACAATGTACCATATTTTGCTTTTATATCACCCTGTTTAATTTGAGATTACCCTTTCTTGTGTTTAATACTTGCAACTGGACTTGTGTTATCAAGTGTATTGCGCTGTGTTGCGCTGTATGGCAGTGTATTGCGCAATTCAGTCACACTATTATTGCTCACCGTGTGCGGGGTGCTTAAGTAATTCAAGTAAAGTTTCATTTAAAAATATTACTTTCGATTAATAAATCAGTTCTTTCTTGCCGCAGCTAAGACCAAGAGAGAAAGAGGCATTTGCATATAGTGAAAAACTGAAGGAGAAATTTTCGCACGAACCCCAAATCAGCCGTCACCGCCACATCCCAAGGTGATCTATAACGCCTCGAAGGAGATAAGAGAGATAATATAAAGCCATCAAGGAAAAGAAAGTATGTTAATAATGCATAAAGTTTTATCAATAGTAATATTAAAAACTTAAAATGATAAATACTATGAAAAAACAATATGAAATGACCTAGTATTAGCATAAATTTTATTTTCTTTAGTCTATTAAACACCAATGGACACTTCTGTATATAATCCCAAATTGCAAAATAAGTTACTGTCAAAATTTGAAGACATTATAAATGTATTTCTGTTAGAAGTCAAAACTTAGTCGTATAATATCAAACTGATCTTATCACTTCCTTTAGGAAAGGTAGACTCAATGACCTTTTAGAAAGTAAAAATGTGAAATGATTCTACCGAATTTGTAATTTTTTAAAAATAAATATCAAGAATTATGTATTTACTCTTCCAAGGAAGCTAACAGAAGAGCACATAACAAGCCAGGCGCTGTTCCGTTTGTACCAGAGAGAAAGAAACATGTCGTTGGAGAGCTCAAATGACAGGAATATTTTTAAATATTAACTATAATTAAAATTATATCCTTATTTATGTAACGTTCTAGGACTGTGTGTATTTTACTTGGAAAAACGTGAATCATATGCAACCATTCAGGTGACTTTTGAAGCTCATATATTGGACTCTGCTACAATGTTTTAAAGATATTTTATACCTATTTCATATTTGTTCCCAAAGTCATATTTTTTATGTCTAAATATTCATCATAGCTTCGGATCTCACCCAACTAAAAAATCCATAAAATCTCTGGGTAGTAAGAATATTAATTGCGAGAATATTTCTGACTAAATGATGATTTTATTATTAATGGAAATTAAGCTGCGATGTGTGGTACATATGCTGTCTACATTTTGCTGGGAATTTTAAAAATCTGTGCGTACAATTTTTAAAGGTCTGGTTACGCCCCTGATATTTGCAGTAGAAATGCAGTATAGCCTACTGCAATTCTACTCCAAAAAGTACATAGGTTTGTACAGAGAGGAGCATTTATGTAGATTAGCAGCATGATAGAAGCATGTTTCAAATATGCTAATTAGCTCCCAAATCGAAGCAGATTTGAAGCATGTTTGCAGTATGGTTGCAGTAGTCTACTGCGCTGGAGTATCCACTGCGTTTTCGTGCGGGTATCTTGAATTTTTGCGAGGGTTTAGATCTATAAATATGTGTGTTCAGCCTCTTTTTAAATAAAAGAGAAAAATAACAGATAAAATAAAAATTTATCAGAGTTTCATTTGTTTTGTTGATATCAAATAAGAAATTAAAAAAGTGATGGTAAATATTTATTTATTACCCTCTTTCCCTCTCCTCAAGCTGTGAGTAAGCGTAATGGAAACCAGATGTGAGGAGTGACAAGCCCTCGAGTGCCCAGACTCCTAGCCCCACGCCTAGGGGGGACCCCCCTCCCTTTAAATAACGTGTACCTGTGCCCCTCCCCCTCCCCTCCCCCCATTCAAAGAATCATGGATCCGCCCCTAGAGATATAAACTATATAGAAAAAAAATAATAAAACAGCATATTTAACAGGACCCTGGACTCTATTCATTCAAAATATATTACCATCATCAACAACATAAAGGCAATAATTTCAGAATAAAATAAAACAATGTTGGACAGATATTTTAATTCTCCCGAATCTAACTGATACCACATGAGTGGAGAAGCCATTACAGAAAGCGAACGCAGGAATAAAAGGCATTTAAGCCCCCCCCCTGCTTCTTCACACATCTCTCTCTCTCTTACACCCTTTTAATATAGGATTATCTCTGAACTGTCTTTTGAAGAGCTTGAGCAACAACATAGGGTCTAGATAAAGCCTAAATACAACTATCAAAAAGCGTAAATCTCTGAAATACGAAGTGACAGTATAAACACCTCAAAGAGACTGTAAAATTTCACGGCTACTATTATTTTTATACTATTATTTTTATACTACTATTATTTTTATACTATTACTATTATTACTATTGGTATTATTTGGCATTTTACTTTAACACATCTCAATACACAGCATGGTTCAATTAACAATAAAATACAGTACGTAAAAGCAGTGCATTATTGGCTGTAAAGGTACATACATATAGTGAGCGTAAAATTTTTTATTTAAAATAAATCCAGTACATATTGTGTAAGGCATTAAATATTGAAGAACCTGTTATTTTATTGACGTTTTTCTATCCATTTTCTACCAACTATTTAATTACGTGGTGTCACAAGATGTTTCACCCCTATTTTCTAAAATGGAAAGGCAATGGGCACGTGGTCGAAACCATTTGGGCCACTGGACAGTGAAACTTGGCCTAGTTCTAAGTGAAGGACGGCCGCAGCATCTACTCTGGGATCGTTCCCGTAAACTTGGCTCCGTCTTTCCCATGCCTTTCAGGGCCTACTGCCGTGAACCCGCCATCTACCGGGAGATCGGCGCCCGTGATGAAGGATGCGTCTCTGCTGCAGAGGAAGACAATGGCGGCAGCAACTTCTGCGCATGCTCCGATACGGTTCATCATGTGACATCCCTCAAACCACCTCTTTTGGTCTTCATCGCCTGATATGAAGTTTGCGAACTGAAATATGAATGATATCATTTTAGCAGTGTTTTAATTCTTTCTTCTGCTCCGCACTGCTTTAATATGGATTTTGATAATCAGCGTTAAAACCATGACATTCTAAGATTTGTCAAGTTGTATCAGCAATATTAATTACTATGTACCATATTTTGCTTTTATATCACCCTATTTTATTTGAGATTACCCTTTCTTGTGTTTACTTGCAACTGGACTTGTGTTATCAAGTGTATTGCGCTGTGTTGCGCTGTATTGCAGTGTATTGCGCAATTCAGTCACACTATTATTGCTCACCGTGTGCGGGGTGCTTAAGTAATTCAAGTAAAGTTTCATTTAAAAATATTACTTTCGATTAATACATCAGTTCTTTCTTGCCGCAGCTAAGACCAAGAGAGAAAGAGGCATTTGCATATAGTGAAAAACTGAAGGAGACATTTTCGCACGAATCCCAAATCAGCCGTCACCGCCACGTCCCCAAGATGATCTATAACGCCTCGAAGGAGATAAGAGAGATAAGATAAAGACATCAAGGAAAAGAAAGTATGTTAATAATGCATAAAGTTTTATCAATAGTAATATTAAAAACTTAAAATGATAAATACTATGAAAAAACAATATGAAATGACCTAGTATTAAGCATAAATTTTATTATTTTTAGTCTATTAAACACCAATGGACACTTCTGTATATAATCCCAAATTGCAAAATAAGTTACTGTCAAAATTTGAAGACATTATAAATGAATGCTGTTAGAAGTCAAAACTTAGTCGTATAAAACCAAACTGATCATATCACTTCCTTGAGGAAAGGTAGACTCACTGACCTTTCAGAAAGTAAAAATGTGAAATGATTCTATTGAATTTGTAATTTTTAAAAATAAATATCAAGAATTATGTATTTACTCTTCCAAGGAAGCTAACAGAAGAGCACATAGCAAGCCAGGCGCTGTTCCGTTTGTACCAGAGAGAAAGAAACATGTCGTTGGAGAGCTCAAATGACAGGAATATTTTTAAATATTAACTATAATTAAAATTATATCCTTATTTATGTAACGTTCTAGGACTGTGTGTATTTTACTTGGAAAAACGTGAATCATATGCAACCATTCAGGTGACTTTTGAAGCTCATATATTGGACTCTGCTA